TGAAGAAGGGTCCAGACCCGAAACGTCAGCCTTCCTGCTCCTCTGATGCTGCTTGGCCTGCTGCGTTCATCCAGCTCTACACCTTGTTATCTCAGCACTTATCTGATGTTGGTCCATTGCTGCAGGACCTACTCCCTGAGGAATTTGCCATCCATCTTTAATTGGATGGCTAAACTTCCAGAAAACTCTAACTGCGGGCACACCTCTGACCTGTGTGAAGCGGTGCTGACAATGTCAGGAGAATTCAGTCCAATGTCACTTATCCTGAGTGCCAATGAGGAGGAATGTTTTCACTCAAAGAACTCTTACATGCTGAAATGCACTGCCTGAACAAAGTAAGTTCCACAGAAACAACTAAACAGCAATTAGACTTGTACTTGGAGAAGGTGGATTTGCAAGGTTACAAGAGGGAGATACAAGAAAGAAATAATTGCTCGTTGCTAAACCAGAAATAAAAGTCACTTTTACAAACAAAACAAAAATTGATGGAGAAATTCAGCGGGTCTGGCAGCATCTCTGCAAAGAGAAACAGGTTCGGGTCCAGTGACCCTTCTTCAGAAGACTTTACAGCATTTCGCTTTTCCTGGCTCTTGTCCTTGAGGTGTGACTACCTGTTTACATTAATCAGAAAAGAAAGGGATAGGAATATAGGGAAAAGAGTGGGTTCTTCATCCTGTCAAGACTGCTCCACCATTTAATATCATTATAGCTGATTAAATGTTTCAATGTCTTTCACTCACACTGTCCCCATGACCCCTTATGCCATTGACAACCAAAAATTTATTAACCACTACTTTAAATATACTCAAAGATTGAGCTTTCACAACCCTCGGGGGTAGAGAATTCCAACAATTCAACCCCTCTCAGAAAAAAAATTGCCTCATCTCCAAAATGACATCCCTCTGATTTTTAAATTGTGCTTCCTAATTCACCCCAACCAAGGGAAACATCTTATCTGTACCTACTCTGTCTATCCTCTTAGGTTTTGATGAGATCAGCTCTCCTTGTTTGAGCCTCTGGAGAACACAGGCCCAGTTTGCCCAATCTTTCTTCACAGGACAGTCCTACCATCCCAGGAACAAGTTTGGTGAACATTTGTTGCAGTCCCTCTATGGCAATAAAATCTTTCCCAAGATAAAGAGACTGATGAAGCTACATGCAGTACTCCAGGTGCAGTCTAACTAAGCTCCTGTACAATTGAAGCAAGATCTCACTAGTTCTAAACTTAAATCCTATTGCACTAAAGGCTGACATTCCATTCACCTTCCTAATTGCTGGCTGCACCTGCATGTTGGCCTTCAGTAACTTATTGACAAGGTGGTGTTGGACTGAAATGGACAAAATCAGAAGTCACACAACACCAGGTCATAGCCCAACAGGATTATTTAAATTCACAAGCTTTCAGAGTTTAGCCCATTCATCAGCTTGTGGTTTCAAATAAACCTGTTGGACTATAACCTGGTGTTATGTGACTTCTGACTTTAGCGACAAGGAACCTAGGTCCCTTTACACATCGACACTTTCCAATTTCTTATGGTTGAAGAAATACTTTGCACAGCTTTTTCTTACCAGAATTGATAACCTCACATTTTTTTCTACACGATATTCCATCTGCCATGCTCTTGTCCAATCTCTAAGCCTGTCCAAACCCTCCTGAAAACATTTTACATCTTCCTCACAATTTGCTTTGTGGAGTATCTATCATCACTGCATTGATCTGTGATGACTTGTTGCATTGATTTTGTGGAGTTAACAGCTAGGTCTGTGTCCACCATTAGTTGGCACACAGTGAAATATGACTGCCCTCACCCCATCTGGAGGTTGTGCAGGGGAAACCGAGGGCAAGCTGAAGGGTCAGAAAGGTGTATCAACAAGTTTCCACATGGTAGAATGGTTAGTAAGGTTACAGCACACGGGATCCAGGGAGAGCTAGCCAACTGGATATTTTTCTCACCCTTTCAGAAACCTGAAAACTACGATCATGCAGCTATGCATTAGAGAGGACAGAAGTCGTGACTAAATTTCTGCACCTTTTGCTGGCACGAGTCTCCAGCTTGGATGGACACTTGATACACCCTGGATATAGGAAACAGTAGCGTTTTTGTGCCTGCATTGGCATTTAGCACACGTCCCTTTCAGTGACAATGTTCCTAAACAGTGCTGAGGAAAGCAGCTTGAACAAGCTGGTCTAATGGAGTCCAAGAGAACTTGTATTTATTTGGTGCCATACCAAGTTCTCAGGGCAGCCCAGCATGCTTCACGAGCAATAACCTTGTTTGAAGTGCAGCCACTATCATTACGTAAGTCAGCAAATATCGAAATCTGACAGGTAAAAATCTGATTAATTCACTTGTCCTAAGTGTTTGGTCTCCCACCTCACTGTCCCCACCCCGCCTCCACCACTGCCATTGCTGCCTGTAAAAACCTATACTACAGATAGATAGACGGTAGCTACAGGGAGGCAGTGGCCTAGTGGTATTATTGCTGGACTGTTAATCCAGATAATGTACCGGGAACCTGGGTTCAAATCCCGCACAGCAGATGGTGGAATTTGAATTCAATAAAATATCTGGAATTAAGGATCTAAGGATCTAATGATGGCCATGAACCCATTGCTGGGAAAAACCCATCTGGTTCACTAATGTCCTTTAGGGAAGGAAACTGCTATCCTTACCTGGTCTGGCCTACACATGACTCCAGACCCACAACAATGTGGTTGACTCTAAACTCAATAAATGCTGCCTGGTCAGCAACACCCTGCATCCTGTGAATGAATAAAGATTTAAAATTGCTCTCTGGTACAGCTGTTTTAAGGCAATATACATCTTATTGTCATGGTCCAGGGCCACCGTAAGCTGGTTGAGCAAAACACTGGACCAGAAAGAAAAGGATGTAGCATTGTGTAAAGATTTCAAACAACAAGTGTCAAGTTTTGTTGTCTCTTACTTTGTAATGTAAACATAATGGCTTCAAAATGGGGGGGCATAGTTATTCCACCCTATTAATAACAAAAACAGTACACGCTGGAGAGACTCACTAGTTCTGTGAAGAGAGAAACAGAGTTAACATTTGGAGTTCAATAAACCTGCTTCAGGTCTCATCCAGTTCTGAAGTAATGTCATTCAACTCAAACTGTTAGCCCTCTTTCTTTCTCCACAGATGCTGCCAAATCTGCTGAGTTTCTCCAGTATTTTTGCTTTAAATCCCAGATTTTCAGCATCCGCAGTATTCTGCTTTGATTCCAACTATTTCCCATTTTAAAAGGTGTCGAAAACAAATGCCTCAACCAAGAAGATAGATGAGCGCAGTGTGGTAGACATTGTCTCCATGGATTTTGGCAAGGCCATCAACAAGTTTCCTTATGGTAAACTGGTCAGTAAGGTTACATCACACGGGATCCAGGGAGAGCAAGCCAACTGGACAAAAAATTGGCTTAATGGTAGGAGACAGAGGGAGGTGGTAGAAGGTTTGTTATTCAGACTGGAGGTCTACAACCAGTGCTGTGCTGCAAGGATCGGTGTTGGGTCTGCTGTTGTTTGTCATTTATATTTATAAAATGATTTATATGAGAATATAGGAGATATGGTTGGTAAGTTTGTGAATGACACAAAAGTGTGAAGTGATTCATTTTGGAAGGTCGAATTTGAATGCAGAATACAGGGTTAATGGCAGGATTCTCGGCAGTGTGGAGGAACAGAGGGATCTTGGTGTCCACGTCCATAGATCCCTCAAAGTTGCTACCCAAGTTGAGAGCATTGTAAAGAAGGCATACGGTGTGTTGGCTTTCATTGGCAGGGGAATTGAGTTTAAGAGCCATGAGGTTATGCTGCAACTCTATAAAACTCTGGTGAGACCACACTTGGAATATTATGTTCAGTTCTGGTCACCTCATTATAGGAAAGATGTGGAAGCTTTAGAGAGGGTGCAGAGGAGATTTACCAGGATGTTGCTTGGACTGGAGGGCAGGTTTTATAAGGAAAGGTTGAGGGAGCTAGGGCTTTTTTCATTGGAGCGAAGAAGAATGAGAGGTGACTTGATAGAGATGTACAAGATGATGAGAGGCATACATAGAGTGGATAGTCAGAGACTTTTTCCCAGGGCGGAAATTACTATTACAAGGGGGCATAATTTTAAAGTGATTGGAGGAAGGTGTAGGGGAGATGTCAGAGGTAGGTTCTTCACACAGAGAGTGGTGGGTGTATGGAATGTGCTGCCGCCAGTGCTGTTGGAGCCAGATGCTTTAGAGACTTTTAAACGACTCTTGGATAGGCACATGGAGGGTGGTAAAATGTAGGGTATGCAGGGTAGATTGATCTTAGTAGGATAATAGGTCAGCAGAACATTGTGGGCCGAAGGGCCTGTACTGTGCTGTACTGTTCTATGTTCTATGGTTTCTTTTGACACCAAAATTTTTCACATTGAGGGTGGTGCGTGTATGGAATGAACTGCCAGAGGAAGTGGCAGAAGCTGGTACAATTACAACATTTAAAAAACATTTGGACAGGTAAATGGATAGGAAAGGTTTAGAGGGATATAGGCCAAATGCAGGTAAATGGGACTAGTTCAGTTTAGGAAACCTGGTTGGCACGGGTGAGTTGGGCCAATGGATCTGCTTCCGTGCTGTATGACTGTAAGACTCTAAATGATAGGCACCTTTTAATATGGAGATTGGGGTGTTATCATATAAAATGATCCCAATTATTCGTTAGGAACTGGACTGTGCAGGCTATAGCCAGTTCCTTGGACAATGGAAGCAAAGTTGCTCTCAAAAGGGAGATGTTGAGTAGTTTCTGCAGTGAGCAGATTGTCAGGTTTTTAACATGACAAGCAATGTCAGGATAGCAAAAGGAAACCGCATCTTTAAAGTGACTTAGGAGGGAAGTTCTCACTTGCACAGGCACTGCAGGAATTAGACATCAAGTGCAAGGTGCAAATGTTACCTTTGAGCTAATTTCAAAACAGTGAAATGCTTCCAGTTAATAAATTCTGACTCAAAAGGTTAATATTTTCCTTGCTTGCTGCAGAAGTCAATGTAGGAACTCCAAGTATAACCTAGAAAAGCACTGAATGAACAAATGAAAAGGTCAAAATGTTGGGACACAAGTTCAACCAACAGACTAAAGTGTGACTTATTAAAAGGGACAAAGACCAGACAACATAAGCTAAAAAGCCCAGTCAACCCACACAGCTCCCTATCAATGCTCAATACCATCACTGAAATATACTTAATAGAGATGTTGAAAATAATGAAGTGTTTTAGGTTGGTAATCAGAGAACATAGATTTAAGCTAATTGGCATAAGAACTAGTGGAGAAGGTGAGGGTTTTTTATTCACACAGTGAGTTGTGATGATCTAGAATTCACTGCCTGAAAAGGTTGTAGAAATAGAAATCTTCAAAAGGGAACTGCATAAATCGGTGGAAATTGGAGGATTGTGGGGGTAAAAAATAAGAAGTGAGAATAATTGGATAGCTCTGCAAAGAGCCCATACATGTACAATGGGGAAACTGTCTCCTCACGAAGGGCAAATGTCTACGATTGAATATTTTCTGCATTACTATGACAGTGAATTTGATTTAGTTTACGTCTTCCTTCTGATATCCATGTTAAAAATGAAGCATTTAGTCTTCCCCTTTGAAGGTTCCTTTCACACAAACACAAGTCTTAAGGACCAAGGTCTTTCGATCATAACTTTGAGTTTTGGTGGTGATGTAAAATGGAAGATTTCAGATCGAACGACCATTATGCAGCTTCTCACATTTTCATTTCCACTGGTCTGACTGATCCACTGTTGTCCTTTTCACATTATTGCCCAAAGTCAAAATTATCATTGCCAACAATAACCATTCTTTCCAGTTGGATTACTGCTGGTGTTACAGAGTCACAAAGCCAAGAGTTCTGCTCCAAACATAGCTTTACACAAAAGGTTACAAATCTCACTGGCTGTCTGCAAAGTTTGAGACAGTGTTATGGACCAAACCAGGACACCTCAAAATATTTTAATAAGGTAGCTCAGACCCTAACTTTTTCTTATTTTAAAGGCAAGTGTGAAGTGCCTGTGCCAGATGCAATGCGACTGGTCAAACTACTCGACATTAAGCAAAACACAATTTATTTAAACACTGTAGTTAAAATGCAACCAAAGAAAGAGGAATTTAGAATAACAACTCTACTGGAAAACTTACCAGTATAATAGATAATGTAATTATTACTGATTAACTTTTCCAATATAGTAATATCCCACAAACACACCCCTTGGCAAAAAAGGAAAATTCAGACAACTTTCTCACGTGCAGTTCTCCAATCCAGGAGAAAAAAACATCAACAGACAATTCAGAGAGAATAGCAGCCAAGAGACATTCACTGAAGCTTTCAACTCCTTTCAGACCCCAACAGCTTCTGATGCTACCGAAAAACCAAAACCCAGAAATCCTGGCCACACCCATTCGCGTTGTTTAAAAAAAAACCAAGGCCTTCCAAGCTGTTTATTCTAGTTACTCAGCTTGGTACCTCTCATTCAATCGGTCTCTTACAAGAAACCAGGACAAAATAACCTCTTAAAGCTACAGCATCATCACAGGAGAAACCCTGGACATGATCTTCTCGAGGCATCGGGTGGTCTCGGGGGCTGGAGAAATGGAAAGAGACTGGTACAGCTTCTTCCAGAGTTGAACCACAAGCCATCAAGGCAGTGCCCTGGCTGCCAACAGGCATTTCTGTGGGACTGGATCAGAGGGGTGGACACAGAAATGCCACCCATTAAGAGAATGCCTTTTCTAAGCAGCTGGCAGCTCACACAATCAGACTATAGCTGCTGCAGAAAGTACAGCACTCCATCCCCACCCCCTCACCCAGTTCCTCATTCATACACTGTTTGCCTCTGAGCAAGAGTGCCCACTCCTCCTAAGGTAACACTGCCTACAGGGTTGTGCATGCCACATGGGCCAGAAGCTGGGCAGTGGGTTGAGGTCATTGGATGGTCCTCATTCATCCTCCAAAAGACCCAACTTGGCAGTGGGTCAAACGTGGACCTTGCTGCCCAGACCTTCATCCTGCCAGAGACAAGAAGACAGAGCCATTCAAGTACACCAACATCCCACCGAATCGGGAAAGGCAATGGCCTAGTGACATTATCACTGGACTGTTAATCAAGAAACCCAAGTAACGTTCTGGGGACCTGGATTCAAATCTTGCCACAGCAGATGATGTAATTTGAATTGAATAAAAAAAAATCTGGAAGTCAGAGTCTAACAGTGGCCATGAATCCATTGTTGGAAAAAACCATCTGTTTCACTAATGTCCTTTAAGGAAGGAAGCTGCCATCCTTACCTGGTCTGGCCTACATGTGACTCTAGACCCACAGCAATGTGGTTGACTCTTAACTGCCCTCTGGGCAATTAGGGATGGGCAATAAATGCTAGCCTAGCCAGCAATGTCCTCATTCTGTGAATGAATTAAAAAAAAATTAAATGCTCTTGATGCCACAAAGTTCACCACCAGACACTGCTCCAGGCCAAGCTACTTTCAATCTAACACAAACTGAGGTTTTGGTGCAGCTCTGTGTCTGATATCCAGTTATTCAGAGTGTGGCAAACAGCTAGCTATTCAAATACAGGGACTCATAACGGGGACATTTGAGAAGCTAAAACTGTCTGAGATTGTGTGAAAGTTAGTAATCTCCTTGCGTGACGGTTTGTATTACGAGCTGCCACAGTGCTTAAACAGTGCTGCGTTTTCAAGGTCTTTCCTGTAAATATATGTGCGCCTATGACCATACTGTTGTCATTTATTCATTTATGTATCTTTGTATTTCTAGTCGCCAACTCCATCTGTCTACCTGGCAACTGCCTCTACAATCACTGGATCTGGATGGAGCAACACTTCAGTTTTAAAATTCTCATCTCTGTTCCTAAATCCCTCTCCATCGCTGTAACCTCCTCTACCCCTAAAATCTCTATGAGTTCCTACAATTTTGGCACATTCTGGATTTTAATTGCGCTACCAATAATGGCTATTTCTGTACTTGCCTAGACTGTGAGCTCTGAAATTCCCTCCTTACACCCTCCAACTTTCTCCCCTCTTTGAAAATGTTCTTTAAAACCTACTTTTCACTTACTCCAATGACCCCTTATGCATTAAATTTTGATTGATAACGTTCCTCAGAAGGTCTCCAGGTTTTTTAATTATGTTCGAGATGTTATATAAATAAGAACTGTTGCCATCTAATCAGAAACATTAAATAAGATCAACACCCCCAGGATGTTGAGTGCGGGGTACTCAGTGATGGCAACGCAATTGAATGTCAAGGGTCGATGGTTAGATTATTTCTTGTAGGTGACAGACATTCCCTGGTACTTTTGTGGAATGAATGCTACTTTCCATTTGTCAGCCCAAACCTGGAGATTATTCAGGTCTGGCTGCATGTGGATAGTGGCTGCT